CTCTGATCTTAGTAAATTTATAGTCAAACTGGCCAGCTCGATGAGAAGGACCCGATGACATAAAAACTAGTCCAATCCGAGTCAAATCAAGCCCGAATCAAATCATTAAACCATTTTTGGAGGATTTCCGGAGGTATTTGAATGGTCAAACGGATGTCGAATCTAGCGAGTTCATAGTTGGATCGAGCATCTCGACAAGACAAATCCAACGAGCTCGAGATTGCTAAATTTTGACATTATTAAGGCACTCAAATGTTCATCAAAAGCCATCCGATCGAGGGAAGCTCTCTGGACCGTCCAATCAAAATGGTTCATAACACTATAAATAGAGCCTCACCCCTCACATGAGAGGAGGAAGCTTGAGAGAGAACTTGAGGCTTTGAGAAGGAGTTCAAGTCCAACATCATCCCGGTCATCGTCAATCGCCGTCAACCACCACTGACCATCATCAACCACCGCCGACCTTCGTCGACCAAGACCGGTCACCATCGACCACCGCTAACCTCCATCGACCACCACCGACCATCATCGATCATCGCTGACCATCATCGACGGTCAACGATTGCCGTTGACCTCCGTCGATTACCGTTGGTCGTCGTCGACCACAGCGGATCGTCGCTGACCTCTGTCGACCACCATCGACCGTCATCAACTGTCGTCGACCACCGCTAACAAGACGTTGTTAGTCAATGTTGTTCCTTGAAAAATCTTGTTACTCTTTTCCGTCTGTGGGACAAGGGGCTTCTGTAATCATTAACTTATAGTGAAATTTTTATAATTGGGCTAGTCCCCGTGATTTTCTCTCTTTACGGGTTTTCTACGTAAAAACTTCTGGTGTCATCACATGTTGATTCTCTTTCATCTAACTGAGTGTTGAATCCTTGTGCAAAGCTAAGATGATTATCCTTTACTCTACCACCACGAATTTTGTGGAACGTATCGGTTTGGCGTTCCATTACTCTACTGCGGCAAATTTTCTGGCACGCATCAATTTGGCGTCGTTTGGGGGGAACGAAGTCATGTTCGACATTGTCTTCAACTCTAAGAAGTTGATCTCTTTCTTCATTTCCCAATGATGTATATTATCCAACTGGCTAAGGAACCTCCTTTACGTCTTGAAGAACTTCTCAGAAGCATTCTTTTAGGCTGGGGGGCAACCTTCACTGCAGTTTCAAAAAGTCATTCATATCAACGTCCCGAGCACGATTGTAGTGAAGTTGTCTTCTCGCATCCTTCTCCGACACAATATTTCACAACTTCTTCCAGGCTGGGGGGCAACCTTCACTGCAGTCTCGAAAGTTCGTTCATGTCAACGTCCCAGGCACGACTATGGTGAGGAAGTCATCTCATATTTTTTTTCAGATTATAAGTTTTCGAGAACCTGTCTTGGACTGGGGGGCAATCTTCAATGCAAAATACAGTTCCTCAGTGTCCCCTCATCGTACTAGAGTTCCTCTTCAGCTAGACCAGGAAGTTGATCTCTTCAAGGCCAATACTTGTGTTGTTTTACAACTTGTATGGAAAATACCCCCGCTAGAAGAGCAAAACATTCAAAAACAGCAACTAAAATGTTGTCAAACATTTTCTTGACTATGACTGCAATCATATTTGCAAGAAAATATACAAGAAAACATATGGTCTATTGCAACCTACACCACAGTCTCGAGAAACACAGAGCATATCTAACACCTCATTCTAGGATTAATTGATCCCAGGGGGAGTCGATTCAACCTCTTCCATTACAGACTGCAGTAGTCAAGCAAAGGCTTCAACCAGTAGCCTCGGATAGGTCAAAAATCCTTGATGGATTTCCTTTGCTTCTTCCATAATAGGTTACGGTCGTCAAGCAAAAGCTTCGACCAACAACCTAGGATAGGTTAACCATCTTCAGTAGATTTCATATGACTTTGTTCATTACGAGTTAATACCGTCGAGCATCTCCTGTTATACAACTCAGAATTGGTCTTACATCCTTACTGGACTTTTTATTTCAACCATACCCCTAGAAGTTGATCCCAGGAGACAAAACTCGATGGAAAACTACAATGTTCCAAGAAGTCAAGTCTCAGAAGGCACAGATACACGAAAAATAGTCTCAATAGGTACCAGTTCAAGCTCCTATAAGACATAGGTTTGAGAGAGCACAACCTAGAAAGGCAAGAACCATAAAAGATACATGATTCTTCATTTTATAAAATGAGTGTGCTAACTTTAATTGCAGAATTTTATACGGTTGAAAAGCCACAATAACCTCATAAGCAATGTCAAAGACGTACAAAGAAATACATTATTATCATCTTCAAATGTCACATTAAAAGGCTACAATAACCAACAAATACTTGTACAAGAGCGACAACAAATTGGTTCATCTCCAAGTAGAGTCGGCATCGCCTCCCCAAAACTCCAATACTTCTGATGATCACTAAGGGATCTCCAGATATCACCACCACAAGCATGAAAATCTTTTCCTCAAAGTGCGATGGGAAAACTTCAATATTTCCTCATCTCCTCTGGAATGTGCAAGAGCAACACAGGAATCTCCTGCAGAATGCACGAAATTAACGAGAAAGAAGATCTCGTTGCTCGCCTGCTACACATGTTGAAGACGACTTTCACTCTTCACTGCAACTCTGCGTCGTAACTCGACACCGCATATTTTTGTTGCAACTCTTCACTCCGACTCTACACCACAACGCGGTATAGCAACTATGCACCACAACTCTTCACCAAAACTCTGTTCCAAAACTCTGAATTGGCAAGATTCAAAATCCTTTTGACCTTTCAAATGCCTCCGGAATTGAGCATCTCGACAAGACGAATCCAACAAGCCTGAGATTGCTCAATTCCAACATCGTTAGGGCACTCAAATGTCCATCAAACGTCATCCGATCGAGGGAAGCTTTCTGGACCGTCCGATCAAAATAGTTCATATTCCTGCATTAATTTCATCCAGAACACTATAAATAGAGCCACACCTCTCACATGAGGAGAGGAGGTTTGAGAGAGATCTTGAGACTTTGAGAAGGAGTTCAACTCTAACATCATCCCTATCATTGTCAATCGTCGTCGACCACCACTGATCGCCAGCAACCACCGCCGACCTCTTTAAACCACGACCGACCGTCGTGGACCACCGCTAACCTCCGTCGTCCACCGCCGACCAACATCGATCACCGCCGATCCTCATCGACGATCAACGACCACCGCTGACCTCCATCGATTACAGTCGGTCGTCGTCGACCACAACCGATCATCGCTGACTTCCGTCGACCACCGTCAACCATCATCAAATGTCATCGACCACCGCTAACCAAACGTCGTCAGTCGATGTTGTACGTTGAAAAATCTTGTTATCTTTTCCCGTCTATGGGACAAAGGACATATGTAATCATCAACTTATAGTGAAATTTTTATAATTGGGTCACCCTGTGGTTTTTTTTTTTTTTACGAGTTTTCCACGTAAAAATTTCTGGTGTCATCACTGGTTGATTTTCTTTTAACTTAGTGTGTGGTGAATCCTCGTGCAAAGTTAAGACGATAATTCATTACTCTATCTCCACAAATTTTTTGGTACGCATCAAAGTTACAGTACTATTTATGTTTGGGAATGTGTATTTTATTTTCAGAAATTAAAATAATAATATTTTGTTGTGATGTTAAAAATTTCTGTAATATGAATGTGAAAAATAAAATTTAGATCTTATATATAAATATATATAGGAATTGGTAAGTAACATTGCTGGAGTCATGGATTACCTAAAGCTCATAAAAGCCAATTAAGCCGCGTCATTGATGAGGTGATGCCCAAACCATCTTGGCAGGCAAGAAAACTAATATCTATAGACCAAGTCGAGAAATTTCATCCCTATTCCAAGGAAAGAGGTCAATATTTTTTTTTTAAATAGCCTTTTTTCAAAAATAAATCCATTCTTTAAGACTTTAACTACCATTTCATGAATTCTTAACTAAAAAAAATCAATTTTTCAACCAAAATATTAATTAAATCATATTCACACCATAGAGCTAGTAATTTTTTTTAATTTTATATATTATTTTAGTATTAATTTGTTTGAAAGTTAAAAATACGAATTTTAACTTAAAGGCTGTATTTAAGGAAAAAAAAAGTCAGAATAAACACAAAAATTCAATATTTTAAGATTCTCCATTTTATTATTTTCTCTATATGGAGAACTAGAAGTGTCAAATAAGGTCAAACAGGTTCGGTTTGGGTTTGACCCAAAAGTGTCTCGACTTGAATATGGTCAACCTGAATCTGACCTAAAAAATAAATCGATCGAAAACAAAAACCCGAACCTGAGCTTAACCCTCTAAACCGAACCCAAACTTTTATACTTATTTGGTTCATATTTAGGTATTCGGGTTCAACCCTAAATGGGTCAAATTTTTTGACTCAAACACAACTCGAAAAATATGTGGGTCAACCCTAAGTCAGATTATTTGAGTTGATTTCGAGTCATATAGGCTTTTCAGATCAATTTTTAACACCCTTGGATGTTATAGAATCTGCACTATAATGGTAAAAATGTTGATTAATTAGTAATTTAATTTAAAATTAATTTAATAGGTGAAAATTCATAACAATTAAATTTAGATCAAATATAATGAAAATAACAGGAGGATAACTTAAAGCCAATAAAATATCAAAAATAGTTCCCAATTATTTATATGAATTCATTTTACTCTAGAAAAAAAAAAAGTAGAAGTGTTAAAATAATATCCTGATTTAATACAAGCGAATATTTTGGCATTTTATTGTACCTGGATCTATATAATTGAAAAAATCTAATCTTGTTCTCGCTCATTTTTTTCCGAGGATAAGGTTAATAAGTACAATTAGCATGGTAATTACACAATCACTGCAGACAATTTTGCCGTGAAAGTCTATCATTGACAAATTCAATTATTTTAAAATCATCTTTTAACTAATAAGTCTCAAAATACTTTGCTTGTAATCCAAGCGGTGGTGCATTCTTTGATAAATAGAGAACAAAAAGAGCCACGGTGCAAACAAACGAAGATAACTAGCTCTTGTTACATTCTCAGCACCCCAACCGAGCGAGAAAGAGAGAGAGAAAAGGAACGACATGGCGGCGGCGATCGAGATTTCGAGGGAGTATGGCTACGTTGTGTTGGTGCTCGTTCTCTACGTCTTCCTCAATCTCTGGATGGGCGTTCAAGTGGGAAAAGCCCGGAAGAAGTAATGGATTTGTTGATATCATTTCCTTTCGCTTCGTCTCTTACTACAGATTCTTTTCATTCTCATTCTATTGAAAATCTTTAAAATCAGGTACAAAGTACCTTACCCTGCTCTCTATGCACTGGAATCCGAGAACAAGGATGCCAAGCTCTTCAATTGTGTTCAAGTAAGCTTCGATTCCCGAGCTTCATCACTCGTCTCCTAAATTTGCGAATCTGATGCATTTTTCACGCGAATTTCCGATTCCGATTGGCAGAGAGGACACCAGAACTCGCTCGAATACATGCCGGTGTTCTTTGTGGCTCTGTTGCTCGGCGGAATCCAGCACTCGCTCGTTGCTTCCATACTCGGACTCTTCTACACCGTCGCTCGTTTTTTTTACTTCAAGGGATACGCTTCCGGCGTTCCTGAAAATCGGATCAAGTTTGGGTATTTCTTTTTTTTCTTTTTTCCTTCTTGGATAAATCTCATTTACTCTTATTCTTTCGGCTTCCAGATCAAAGTTGGAATTTTGCATAGTTTGTCTAATGATTTATGTTTGATTTCTGGCAGAGGTTTGAACTTTCTTGCTTTGCTTGGGCTCATCTTTTGCTCCGCTTCGTTTGGCATCAACCTGCTTCTTCGTGAGCTCCTCTAGTGTTCGACGAAGTGATTTTTAGTTGTTTCTCACGTTTTTATTTCATGAAGTTGGATTAGGTCTTTGAAATAAGCCAAACTGTGTTTGGACGAGGGATTAGTAAATGAGAATCATTCTTGTTCTCCGTTTAGATATATGTGAGTTGTGCTGAATTGCTGCTGTTAATTGTCCTTTAGGGTCTAATACCCTGTTAATTACCTTTAATCACTCATCATCTAAAGCAGTGATCTTATGCATTAATCGTTGATTGGTAATGCAAATGCGGAGGAAACTTCTCACCTACGACGCGTTGACATCTTTGTTTAATTGCTTCTTGGTAATTGCATAAAGAACTCTTTTTTATGCTGAAATAAGCAGTCTTATCGGTTTTGCCGTGCAACCATCGAGTTCTGAGATACTACGTGCCACAAACGATACAATTCTATAGGATTTCTTTAGTTGTGCAGAGCTGCATGGCGCGCGCTTATTGTTACACATTGAATGTTCTGATATTTATTGTACAATTGAATAGATTCAAATAAAACTTATATCTTATACTTAATTTTAAACTTAATTCCTGGTTCATTTGTTATTTAATAAAGAAATTATTAAAAAACTAATAAAATGCTCATTTAATTATTCTTAAACACTTTTAATCACCTCGATGGGTTTCCAGGGGTCTCACTTACCGGTTTAAATAGACTTGCTAGGAAAGAGCCTCTTGGTGAAGGACCTAAACATTAGAGAAAAATAAAAATATGTTATGACTATAGGATTAGGAACAGGGTCGGCAATTGCTAGAAGGCAGCCTTTCACTTGCATAATGAGTAACTCTTTGTGTCATGCCATTGGGTTCAAGGAGTCGACAACAATAAAAGGCAAGGGTCTAAGCTACGATCATAAGATTATGAGTAGTTCCAAACTGAAACTACATATCTTCCAACCACTAAGTGTGGGGTGTTGATACGATCCCATTGGTGCGATCGCAATAAATGGTGATTTGAGGATGACAATTTTAAAATTTAGGAGGGGAGAATTATAAGTGATAAATTAGTGAGAAACATTTATCCTTTTTATTCATTTAATATCTTCTATAGCGAATATGTTATGCTAGAACAATGCAGAAACGAAGAAATTCAAACACAACAATCAAATACAAATGATTTATATGGTTTGACATTAAGTTGATTCACTAACTACCAAGGGGAGGGAGATTTCACTAGCACCAAATGGGGGGAAAAAATGGCTAGGGCTTACAACTCACAGTGTCCACCATATATCTCTCATAAGCCTTAAGACCCTTGTATATAGGAGGACTAGGGCATGTAAGTAACTAGTGCCAAAAGTTAAAATTAACCCAAATTTAAAACAGTTCATAAATATAATAATTTTCACCTCATCTCTTACTTCCAGATAAGTGAGAGATGATCAAATGAACTCCAAACTTTAATTCAATTACACCTAAATGGTGAAGGGAGCAAGCCTCGTGTAGTTCTTCAAAATGCCTGATTGGTCAATCAATCTTAAGCTTGAATATTCACCAAACTCCTACAGAGATGACATTTTAAACTGGTAGTACCTTCGTGAGCACGTCTGCTGCATTTTCCTTCATATTTTTCTTCCTCAACAAAACATTGTCGGCATCAATTAATTTTTTAACAAAGTGAAACCTCACATCAATACGTTTGGTACAAGCATGATGAACTGGATTTGTGGTCAAAAATATCGGAGTCTAACTGTCACCAACATTTAGAAAACCGGATCGAACATGTCGGTTCGACCGTGAATTGGTGGCCCGTCCGGTTTGTATCATACTAAAAACCATTTCTGATGTGAACTACCCAAAATCGGTTGAAACAGCTGCTCAACCCTTAAATCAGAGAACCGGTTCAAACTTTTAAAAAATATAAATATATTTTTATATTTTTTCTTACACTTTTCAAGTGCATGTCAGTTTCCAATTCAAAAGCACATCCAGGCTTTTGTCTTTTCTGTCTTTTCTGGAACTTTTTCATATTTATACATGTTTTTTGTTTTCGTGCAAAACTTTTCGGTCTTTTCTTGACGCACTTTTTTATATATAAAGAAATAGAGATAGAGAGATATGGCGAGAGGAAATATGAATACTTGTAGAAAGTTTTATAGGGATTTGTTTTGAAATATTAAAAACTCTTGAGAATAGAATCAATTGCTTTATGAAAGAACAGATTTTTATGAATAGGGCCACTTAAAAGTATTTTATTTATTTATTTATTTATATTTATTATTATGTTTTTGTTATATTATTTAAATTATAATTAATTTATTTATATTTATTAAATATTACACCATTCAGTTCAACCGCTTGTTCCCCCAGTCAAACCAATGAATCTTGAATATTTCTTTTTTTTCAGTTTGGTTTTCAAAACCTTAACAGTCACAGAGCACCGTCGCAGGCTTCTTATCAGCTCTAAAGTCTTCCAATAGGCCTTGCATTTATATCGTTTCCTTCATTGCCTCTGTGACTGTCAAGTACTCAGCCTTCATAGTAGACAGAGCAACAACAAACTGAAGAACCAACTTTCAACTGACTAGACCTCATGTCAAAGTGAATAAATAGTCAGTCGTAGATCTCCGTCTATCCATATCACCTGTATAGTCTGGTCAGTGTAGCCTAAATACAAATCTACAATAGATGATTGCATCTTAAACAACAAGCCAACATTAGCTGTACCCTTTAGATACCTTAGAATACTTTTCACATTCTACCAATATTTTCTTCCTGGATCATGCATGAATCTACTCACGCTTGGCATCATCTTTAGATGTCATGAGTGAAGGATGTCCGCTCAAACAACCTTAGGATATGCTTCATGCACAAATGACTCACTGAGGCTCGAGATATCCGTTTTCAATCCTCCAACACGTGGGCAAGGTCATTTTGCTAGGCTTGGTTGTCGATTAGATTAGTTTTTTTCGGTGTTGTGCGAATACATCAAGCCTTAAATTGGCTTACTCGTGAAGAATTATCTGTTATATGACTCCGAATGTGGGAACATACATCGTGGATGCGTCTGGAACATCATTTTGGCTTAAGATGGAGCTTCTAAGTCTTGCAACGTGGCCTAAGGGTGCGTTTGGGATGGCTTATTTGCTGCCATTTGAATAGCGTATGACAAAACGTGATTATGTGTTTCTTAATAGATGCGGACGCGGGATCGACCCTGCGTCCGTCGTCTTCAATTCACGTTCGGATACAATTTTACTCACGTGCCCTTCTCCTCTCCCTCTCCTCCCTCGTCGATCTCCCGATCTCGAGCTCGCTAAGAGGATGTTTCGATTCGCTGATCTCGGGTTGATGTTTCGTCTTCAATCCGCATCAAGCGGTTTTTTCTTCGCATGCCCTTCTTCCGTCTCCTCCCTCTTTCACCACTTCCGTCCGCTTCTCTACTTCTTCCCCACGATCTCTTTCAAGTTCATGGAAAATGACCAAGCAGAAAAGGTAAAGCCCTCGCCTCTACCTTCGGCTCCTTCTCTTATTCTTCCCCGCGATCTCTTTCCAGTTCGTGGAAAACGATGAAGCAGAAAAGGTAAAAGGGGAAGAGTTTGGAGGAGAAAGAGATTGGACATGATCATGTTTAATTTTTTTATTACACTATTGTTTGGTACTGATCAAGTTTAATTTATTTTTAAGCTTTTTTTGCTTCAAATTATTAAGGTTAATTTTTTAGAAAAGTAGAAGCGAATTAGGATTGTTAAGGTTAATTTTTAACAACTAATTTTACACCTAATGCATTTCCAGCAAAAAAACTCTTTTAAAATTTCTTATGCAAGCTGAAGATACTCTGAGTTAAAAAAAATGTCTATTTTCTTCAAGAACAGTAATAATTTACTTGGATTTTTTTATTTGAATTCCATTTATCTCGGTGTTTGTCTGTCTCTGTCTCTATTTGTGAGTGTGATTAGCCGATAATTAAGTTGGACAGTAGGTTGGTTTTGTTCCTGTCTATGGTGCTTCAGAGATATCTGCTTTTCTCATGACATGTTGATGGAGCAGCTTGGACGGCCTCTGTTTTTGTAGGTAACTACTATGTCCATGTGATGTTGGTAGAGAACATGTGGATGTATTCATATTTTGATGGAACTAAGGTGAATATGTGCCTACGATTCCCATTTCATTTAAACTTTTCTATTTCTTCAAGGGACCAAAGGGAGCGTTATCGCGTATAAATGTTTGCCTTTTATCTGAACTCGTAATCTTTCTTGGTTCCCTTTTTTTCCTTGCTTTGAATGATTTGTATTCTAATGCCGTATGATAATGGATAAACAATTGTGATGATAAGCATTAATACATCAGTAATCCTTCATTCTTGTAAAAAAAAAAAACTCATTAGTTTATGGGTTTGTTAAGCAGTTATTATGGTAATTGCTTTTTCATGTTTTTTTTTAATGATACTCCGTATTTTATCCCCTACTTTTTGGTAGGCTTTTTTTTCTAATCCAATGGTTGAAAAAATTTGACTTGCATTTCTTGAAAATAATGTAGGTGTACAAGAGTTCATTCCATGCAAGGTTCTATAGGTGCTCGAAGTGGAAACACGTACCGGGTGTTTGCGAATTCCTTAGGTGGGCGGACAACCCTTCAGATTCTACGTTATCTCAATCAGACAACATTGCATGGGTTCCCCCATTTTCCACCCTTATGTCGCCCCGCCGTTGGGATAAATTGTTGGATCGATTTAAAACCGAAAATGGCATGTGAGTTATCTTGGATCTTGCTAAATGAGGCAAACAATCATTCCATTCCTTGAGTCCAAAAAAATATTTTGGGCAGGAAGGACTAGAGAGATATCACGCTCATTTCACTTGGAGGGATACAATGAGCGATCACAAGGAGGTTGGGTGAGAGTTTTGGAGAGTCTTTGGAAAGCTTCTTCACCCTTCTTCTTCTTTCTCTTCTCCATTCTTCTTCTTCTTCCTCCTCTTGCATGTTCTTTCTCGGTTACCGTCCTGGTCCGAGAAACTGAGGGGACTGACAAGGAGTTGAGGAGCGATAACAAGAGTGCTTGGAGAGTTTTGAGAGTTAACTTCATTCTTCTTCCTCCTCCTCTTCTCAATTTTTCTTCCTTCTTCTTCCCCTTGCATTTATTTTTGTTGGTCACCTTCTTGGTCCAAGAAACAGGGAGGAAGAGCGAAGCATGTTGTTGCGCTAGCACCAAAAAACCCTTTGTGAAGT